AAACTCACTGTAGGCATTTGACTCTCCTGGTATCCTTCCGTTTAAACACATCGTCCTCATTTGTGGGCTTATATTACAAATCTTTGATCTTTTTAGTTTCCCTAGAAATTAATTTCTGTTCGCGTATACTTAAGGTCTATAGGCATAGACCAAAATTTTAAGTGTATATTTGGGTTGAAAGCGGTGCCCTCTCGTTTAAAATGACTGCAATACCTTTGATTTTAGGGGCAAATTCCGATTTGTGATATGATTTCGGCCCATTTATATTCGATGTTCGAGGTCACTTTAAATATAACCGTTTGTGTCTTATATTGTGGTTAACTTTCCAGAGACGTTCAGCAGCAATTCGAAAGAAACTCTGCAAGTCCGCAGTTCGCGGTACAGCCATGCCAGTCCTACTTGAGACCTCTGCCCACTCGGCTCATTTGGTAGACCTCATCAGTTAAATGCACCAACAATTCGTTATTACGAGCACTGATTTCACATACACTTTCTAGCGGTCAGCTTGACAAAAAGACTTCCAGTCGAGTCAGAGTACTCATCGTATGACATTTAGAGACTGCGAAGCTCGGTGTCCAAGTGTTGTCACCGGAAGGGGCTATCACCATATTCAAAATGGATGGCAGTCATACACTTCACAGACCCTTTTTTCGAACGGTCAATCCAGTGAAACTGACCCATACCCATAATTTTCTACCACATATCTTGTTCATTTCATAAAGCCTTAACATGTCTTTTAGGGTGACAGCACCATACGCTATTTCGAATATGTGCCCGAGGATGGCCAAATCTACTTCCTAAGTCGCTACGACAGCTCCGATCCCCAGCGCGGTTTTGCTTTTATGCCCAAATTGGGTTTGGATACTCACACCAACGAGATTGCTCGTCTCTACAAATTGCACAACAAGAACTGGTGTGAAGTCATTTCCTTTACCGTACCCCGAAAGGCCGCCCTCTTCCAAGACGACCTATACCCGAATACGGCCGCACCAATCCCCGCTCTGTCGGCCGAGGAATGGCTAGCTGGCAAAGACGCTGACCCAAAAATGGTTTGTTTCTCATAAACCACATTTTCTTCTTTTTCTTAGTCTTCCTCCTTTACAAGCTCTGCATGCAAATGTTGAAACCGCTTCAAAGCAACCGTTTTTTGTTTTGATTCTGTATCACAACCACGCGTCTCGATGTGACCACCATTCCCAGTGCTGGATTGATTACCTGGGCTGAAGCTGAACCCGAGGATTAAAAGAGCCAAGCTGAAATGCTGAATATTGATGGCGGTTGTGATTTATTTTCATGCGATTTGAGACTGTCAGCTGCCGGTACCACCTCGTCGAAGTGAATCAAAACGTGAACACAAACAAATGCACCTCTGCAAGGGCTCAGCACTAGCACACACACACACACAAGCCTTAATGACCCCCGGTTAACATTTCTCGCACACGTTGGTCAGCGAAATGATCAGTTGATGTTAGATTAGTCAGACGCCTGACAGGAGGCTGCATATCTTTGTATTTTACTGGCCAGCCACTGACTCATCTGCCATTCTATTCAGTTTTGTATACATCTGACGTCGTAGCACTGATAAATGCAAAATATGAACAGCTACAAGCAGAGAGTGATTGATTTTCAAGAAAACGGACGGGCTGAGATTTGAGAATATAACTGATATCGTTTGTAAACGTTCATTAATAGCCAGACCCTTCAAGATACAGTATTCGCCGGTTATTAAGCCCACGGCTTATAAGCCCAGCCGCGTATTAAGCCCAA